GCAGTGGCCCTAAGGGCCGTTACTCACCACATACACAAAAGACAAAACATATGGTGGTGTATTATTCCACGATCTGCGGTAGTTTCTTTCTAATTTTGCAAATTTGCTCAGTATTTCTTTTCTTTTCTAGTTTTCGTTTTCTTAGGAATACGTGGAGTGGCCCTAAGGGCCGTTACTGACCACATACACAAAAGACAAAGCCTAGCTACGTGAGCAACCCATAACTGCTGAAACACAGACCTGAACTTCAATCCTGAGGATATATTGGGCCAGCTCGTCCTCTAGTGCATACTTACTACCGGCCTCGATTTTGATGGAGGGTCTGCAGTTTAGTGCTGCGAGGACCCTCCAGATTGCCTGCATGGGCCGTTCGAGCGGTACATAAGTGCGCCGCAAGTATGATTTTTTTAAAATTAGATTAAATTTGGACCATTTCTCGATTTATGTGTGTCATCCTTGCGCAGGGGCCATCCATGCTAATCTTCCTTCTCTGTATCGCTCCAATTTTAGCGGGTGTCCCGAAGAAGGACTAACTAGCAGAGTTATTTACCGGTCTTTTACTCAAAACATGCTGTCAATAGCTCCATCGACCGTTCACTGGTCCACACTCTTTATCACCGAATCGGTCGAGTACCGGATGAAAGTACCATCCAACAACCATCCACGACGCATGAAAGACTGTAGTTCACCCAGGCAAACATTAAAATTTAAAAGTGAAGAAGAAGAAGAAGAAGAAGAAGATTAGGTTTGACTGCAGGGACGTGTTTTGTACGGAAGTTTGAAAACACGAGGTACCTATCCCTCACAAGGGGAGGAAGGGTTATTTGGATCGATCTCGAGAAACATTTCGTATACTTGGAGGAACCAAAACTAGAAGAAGAAGGGTTTTTTTGGATCAATCTTGAGAAAAAAATCGTCTGGATAGCTCTGCCTGCATAAGCTGATCTTGGAAAAATTGTCAACTCACCGTCCTTTTGTTTGTTTCTGAGTGTGTGTTCGTCTTTCGTAGTATCGTGGAATATTTGATCGTTCAGGTTGGCTTATGTGGTCGCCTCGATTCGAGTGGTCGTACTTTTTGACAAGTTTTTGTTCTCTCTCTCTCTCTCTCTCTCTCTCTCTCTCTCTCTCTCTCTGAGGTTAGCTTATCCAGTCGTCTCGATTCGAGTGGTTGTACTTTTTGTTCTCTCTCTCTCTCTCTCTCTCTCTCTCTCTCGTGCGTGTGTGCGCCTGCTCTCTCTCTTTCTCTGAAGCAGAAAGTTTTCCGTACCACACCACAATTTTTTGTTCTCTCTTCAGATGCGTGTCATGTTGTTCTCTTGTGGGTTGGTTTCTTTTTGTTCTTTGCTCAGATTCGTTTCTTTTTTTGTTCTCTCTTCAGATTCCTTCTGTCCTTTGTTTCCTTCCTTCCCTCCTCCCCCCCACCCTTTCCCTCAATTTGGATCGTTTCGCTTGTTACGCGTGTCATCCCTGCTTGTGCAGGACCTATATGCCAATCTTTTCTGTATCGTTGCTTTTTTGTTCTTACACCCCCCCC